AGAAAGGTGACTAATCGCCAATAAAAAAAAAAAAGAGCGTTCTCAAGTTATTCATAAAAGAAGTGTGCCTTTTTTTTTTTTAAATTAGTATCCAAATTTATAGAAAGAAGATCCAATTTCGTATAGAACGCCAAAAACGACGGGTCAACATATCAGATCCAATAGTCACATGCTAATTCACGACACAAACCAAGATCACCAGACCAAAGGCTTTCACCTCAAGCTCGAACGATATGGCGAACAGAAGAAGAGCACAAATCGGAAAAAGAGAATGCCTACACAAGCCAAACAACCACCAGATTCGACCAACTAAAACTTCTCATCACACCGGGATATCAAGGAAGCGAAACGATATGAAAAGTTTCAGATTGAATGCCACAACATGTTCAACGCACATTAGATTTAAATGATCCAAACACGCACAGCCCAATCAGCCTCGGAAACACAGGATCACGCAGTCAATTGAACAATTCAAAGATGAAAGCGAAGAAGATCGTTAATCAAACTGGAGCATTGCATTTCGAGGATGAAATCTGGATTTACCGAAATTCACCCGATAAATGGGCTAGAAACACAATCTCACAAGCATTCTCAAAGACTGCTTCCAAATCAAATATCATTCAAAGACGATAACATTATTTCTCGCAAATTGGAACACTTCACGGCCATAGAAAAAGGGTTTATTTCAAGCTTCCCATGAGAAAGAGGAGGAGTGCATACCTAGTTCTGGTCGACGACATCGACAAACACGACAAGCTTACCATAGTTGATGAGAGCGACCCTTTTGATCTCTACGTATCTCTTGAAAGGCATTTTCGCCTATGCTGAATGCTCAGTAATGTCCCATGACAACCGCCCACGAATGTGCGATACTTGTCTTTCACCATCTCCAACTCCTCGTTCAATTCCAAAAGCAGTGGTAGCAGCGGCACTTCCTTCTTCTTGAAAATTAATAAGGCAATTATCCTTTAGATTTGTTGGAATTTGTATTACATAATATAAAAATAACAATTGTCAGAAATCTGTTTGAAAAGATGAATAAACAATATAAAATGTCTAAGGCATGCAAGCACTGTCCTTAAAGATAATTTCGCCTCTCGGAATACGAAACTCAATGCGTAAGGTTCTAGCGGCTATCATCCCAAGATACAACACACCTTCTTCTATACTCCGCACTGAATATTAACACGAACAACGTTATATGTAAAACCCAATAAACAAAAGAAAGAAAGATGTCTAACGAGAAACAAGAATATTCTTGTTTTGATATATCGATACCACTTTCGAATTATGTTCAAAGTAACTATTTATAGGTAAAAGAAAGAGAGAGACATTTGGAATCCGTTATAAATCAATCAGTAATTAAAGAAGAATATGACCGTTATATAGCCATTATAAAATAATGAAGAGTTTATGAAGAAATAAATCAAAAGTTACAAAGTTGTTATAAAGCCATTATAAAGCCGTTAGAAAGTCGTTATACGGTCGTTGCAAAACCGTTATAGATTAATAGTGGACAAAAACGGTTACAAATTGATGATGGTAAAAACCGTTTTAAAAAATAATGGCTTTCAATATTTCAAAATTATCGAAATATCCAACAGACAGTGCTTATGATTGAGGCTGTTAGAGATATTTTGATAATTCTATTGATTATTCGTATCTCTCAAGATTGCACGTATATTGCACATGTATTGGCCATATATCTCCCTTTGATTGTGCACATGATTGAGGCCATTAGAGATATCTCTTAATATCTTCTTAACTTGGAATTATACTGGTATGGATAACTTTATGATCAAAATGTTTGTTTACCCTATCATCATTGTATCCAATTTAGCAAGAGTCGTCTTTCCAATACCCCATTCCAAGAATCGGAACGACTGTTGTCGTTCTAGCTCCACCATCATCTAATCTTATGAACAACTCTATTATGCTTTCCTTTTCTTCGTTTCTTCCAATCACATTCGAAGGGGCACAAAAGAATGAGTTTCCCTTGGTGGAACTATAGTCTTATCATGAACATCACTCGACAAGTTGAACTGAGTTTTCTCTTCATTGATCCGATCAAGTCTTTTTCTCAATCTTTCATATTATGTGCCTTCTTAAACTTGAAAATGAAGTTGGATATCCACGAGGACAAGTAGCGTACCTTCCTTCTGAGGGTCAAGTGCTCGGTCGATCTCGTCTGCCTCCACAAAGCCCAGGCTTCGAATTTGTCTAGCACGTCCTTGGCATCATAGCAGAAGTCTTTAAGCTTCAACAGCCAAATCCTCACAGCTGCCTCTTTTGTTTGCTTCGGCACAGCATCGGTGAGCACCTTCTGGATCATCTCTGGCGTGTTCTTGAGCTTTCTTGACACCCCAGACCAGTTGAATTTCTTCAACAGTTGACAAAGCTAGTTTCTACAGGATGCTAGAGACGATCTTGGTCATGGTTGTGATTGTCGTTATTGGCTATCGAGGTGGTTTGGCCTAGCCGCTATGCAGGAACTAAACTTGTTATCAAGAGAAGGATAGCAAAGAAACATGATTTTGCCAGGTTATATAGGCACATATATCGGAATACACATGGTGCGAAAGAGAACACTGTAAGCACGCGCGAGGAAGAAATCGCTATGCAGTAATGACGCATTCCTCCCAAAAGCCCTGATGAATCAATGCGCATCAAGGGCAGAATCGATAGGATTTGCATTTTGGAGGCGAAGTCAAAGGATGCTTTTTTCTTGTTTTTCCTAAGTTGACCAAACCCTCGTTGGTTATATGTTGTGCTTTGACGTATCTACAGGTTTACCATCGACATCCCACCTTCCAAAGAAAGCCTTCTGATCTGAGTGGGCAAGTTTTAAAGTAGATGGGTAAGTAGACACAGTGAACACGACACTTTTATTAATCAATCGAGTCGCAATCCAAACATGACACTTTTATTAATTGTGTGACAATCCAAACATGAAGCATTACCAAACAAGTTACACGACATGTTTAGAATACATGAACCTTATATATCAACATTTACAAATAAGACGTATATAAAAGTGTCCTCATGACATAAATAATTATATGTCTAGGTGCGTCATAAACGGATTAAAAGGATAAATCCACACACGATGCATTTATTAATAGTGTGTAAACGGGCTAATACATTTAAGACATGGATCCATTTTGCTAGGTTTGATGCAATCACCCTTAGTTACATGTCACGTAAATCTATCTTGACCCAGGCCCTCGGGTCCTCCGAATCGTATCTGCAACTTTTTACTTAGTAATTAAGCCCTTGAAAATCTTGCCATGCATTAATGCCAGATTTTCATCCAAAGCACCGTTGACTCCATGCACATTAACAACTGAACACAATCGGATTTGCCTTCCGGTGTCAAGATTTGCCAACTTTTCTCCAGTTAAGTCACACCACTAATTTCGGATTACTAATTCTCATTTGATTCACTTACCATGATTATTTTTTATTTTAATTATCACTTTTATTATATTTAACAACTTTTATTTACCTTTCTTAATTATGTCTTAAACTTATCAAATCTTATATGAAATACTAACTTTAATTTAAGTGATTTATGAAATTTTCTCATATTAAGTCATCAAATAGTTTCAGGTTACTAACACATATTTGAGTATGTGATAAACGTTTATTTGGTTTGTTTTTTTTTTTTTTTGCTAGAAGTTTATTTGGTTTGTTATTTGTATTAGGTTACTTAATTGGGAAAAAAGTTAGGTAAGTCACTCAAGAAAATGTTAGTAACTCCATACAAAAGTTGGTACATTTGGTAAGAAAAGGTAAATAAAAGTTGGTAAAAGATTAGAGAAATTTTTATTTGTCAGTTATATGAGAAGTTGGTAATTGAGAATAAACCAAATAAACATTGATCACTAACTTAGTAACGTAAATCTAGTGGGTAACTGATCATAGAATGGCTAATAAGCAAGGCAAAAAAATGGTAAACGATAACAAAACTTGATAAATTAAAAAAATAAATAAACATTTTTAAGTAACACAAATAAGAATTGGTAATTCAAAACTAATTGTTAATATAATTAAGAAAATATTGGTAAGTCGTTTAATATATAGTAAATTCACATAAGAACCGGCACGTTTCAAGACGCCAATTAGAAAAGCACATAAAAATGGATAAAAAATAGGAAAAAGTTGGTAATTGAAAACCATCGGAAAAAAAGTTGGTAATATCATTAAAGTGTCAGTAAGTTGTCATCAAATTCCCGTAGATCAGATGACCAGTTTTTTGCACACTAACCAACTCTTTCAGCAATCTACCGCTACCAAGCACAAGAAGAAAACCTATTTTTAGACAAAACAATAGAATCGTCCATCGCACTTTTAATTTTTCTTCATGCTCTTGACAATGGCAAGAATTCAAAATCATAAACATCACCACATCATTTCAGCAGTGCCTTCTGCTTTTTTCTTCCCAATCTTGCATCCATTCATGAGCTTTTCCTCGTGGCAAAGCATGAGTTTTAAGGCACTTCTGATTTTTCTTCATACTCTTACTAACCTTTAAAAATTTCGACTTCCATGGACTGTGGGGGATTTGAAGTGTAGCGTGTATCATCATCTACTCTAGTGAATAGTAAACCATACCTCTATTATTTTTCGGTTTATTATGAAGGCTCTGTTTATTTTGCGAATAATGAATAATTTTAATAATATTTTCCTAAAAATGATCGCTTATATCACTTTATATAATTAACCAATGAAAAAAATGCTCATTATCGATAGCAATTTATGTCTAAACATTCAAATTCATTCATAGTTGAGTTTTGCTATCTATCTAGCTTCAACCTTCCAACTCTAGGAAGGAACATAGTTCTTCATGATTACCATTCTTTCCGCACAATGCGCTGGAAGTCTTGTGCATGTAGCTCGCATGCAATGTCGAAATTTATGGCCAATGAATCGAGTGGAGCAGGTGTACTCTTCGAAGAATCTAAAACATGTATCAGTTAAATCAAAGCAAACCCTAATACTTGCGGAAGAATCCAAAAACACGTAAGAAAGCAGTCTCGTATGTTCATTCTTCGGTCAGTGCTTTTCGGTCAGTGCCATTTACGACGATAATGAAACAACGAAATGCCAAGTGCAAAACAGTATTCGAGAGAAAGCTTCCGTTTGAAGGAGGAAGGGAGCTCTATAAGGCCAAAAGCTTTCTTTTCATACCCCACCCAACAGCTATCAGGTAGACTGCAACACAACCTCCGACAGTGCCGATGGTAGTTTCCCAAAATTTTATGTAATGAGCACTGAAGAGGCTAATTTCTATGTTCATGCCGAACAATCCGACCACCACGATGCCCGCATTTATGATCATGTTTGCAGTAGAGAGCATCACTCCCATCTGCAGCAGCTGATTCTGCTTATCATCCAACATTATATTGATGCAATCCTCAGTATCATCCACATAATCGTTCATCTACACAAACGGAAATATGTCTTGTTAGACATAGTAAGTCCAGCAAATGTATAGCATACAAAAGATGTAAGAAAAGTATATGCAAAATTAGATGTTAATGCAGCGAAAACATGATCTTTCCCATTCTCTTTCATTTCCATTACTATCCGATAAGAGATGCAAAAAGTATTATGTATATTTGACAGACTACACGGAGGGAACTGGGCAGTCGATCCAACTTCATTGTCGTAAAGAAAAGGGCAGGTACAGTAAGGGAAAATTTACGACAGCTACCCATGCTTTTAAAGTATGCTTGTAAAGCAAATTCATCAAAAAGCCTACACAAGTTGCATGATTGATCAAACCTATCATGGAACTTGAAAGTAATATGCTTCCTACATTTCATAAATGGTTGAACAATTATAGTGAAGAGTTAAATATGTTTTGTCCACTCAGCTATGAGCACAAAATTGTGAAGTCATGCATCTACTTAATGTGTATTTTTGGGATGGATTCCATTCGTGAGTTTCTTTTTCAACCAATACTTCAAACGGATAGAAGGGTGCTTCCTGGATGCTATTTCACAGTCAAGGTAACTCTCTCCGGAGATAGCCTTGAGATCATCACACATGCACATCACAACAGATTTATTAATAAATTTATGTGTAGCTTCATGACAGAGGCAACAGACTGATGTAAAAATAATTACATTCAGATGAAAAGGCTTGAAGAGGACTTTTATGGCAATGTGTATGGAAATGCATCAAGAAAACTATGTAAGTTCCATCACTCAATTCATGCGATGGCTAAAGGGAGGATTTAGCTTTCTAGTGTGTTATATTTAGGATAAAGAGATGCATAATATACTCTATTCGGATAGATAAAACAAGGAAAACACATTTTCACTAATGATGTTTTTTACTTAGGAGGATTGGGCATTCACTTTTGGGACCGATTCCAACGTGGAATGAAGGAAATGCCCATTCCACCAGTAGAGGAATTGTGATTTCTCCCCAAGTTTCAACAGAAGGAATTGCTATTCCTCCGCCTTTTTGTTCACACATTTCGAAGAATTTCCTCTCTTTTCTACTCCCTGTAGTTTATTCCAAAGAAAATATTGACATTTTGTTATTCCTTCAATTATGTTCCCACGTTATTTCTCCTCTAAAACCAAAGGAATTTGGATGCTCATTATATTCCTTCTCCCATTCCATTCCTTCCTTTGCCTCATCTCATCACATCAAACATAATTTAGCAAATTTCAAATTAAAAAAAAATGAGAAAACCTTTCCTCAAATTTTTTATTGGTTGTATGAGTAGAATTTGTCTTAAGGCAGCAAATCATAATATTTTCAAAGTGAATTATCTTATTTAGCCAACTACGATAGTCAGTGATCAAAGAATAAAGTACGATCATATATCGACAGTCATAACATACTAGTGAGCTGAAAAAATGGACCACCAAATTCAGCAATGCATGCAGGGTAAGCGTGTAGATACATACATCTGACAATTTTTGCAGTATGCCATCAATTTGGACAAAATATGCTTCTAAAAGCATCTCAAGCTCCTCAATGTTAGGCTTGTAGCTGGTCAAAACTACAGAATCTAATTCTTCTTCTTGATTGTAATCTTCAGCCCTGTCATGACATATCATTGCAGAGTATCAAACCATCACATTATACAAGACAACTGTAGATGAAAAAAAGAACACAGGAGTTGTGGATCGACACAGCACATGTAAACTGCTATACTGCTATAAGTGTTTAACGATCGAAGGGGCCAGACAGTACAAGTCGGTACGCTTGTAGTTTTAAGTTGATGTATTTTAAGTTTGGACTTGAGAGAATAGGTACTTCCTCTCTGTCCCACAGATTAATGGGTACAGCAGTGTTCTCTATTTTTTTGGCCTTCTAGTATGCATGCTTCAACATTGCATCACACTGCAAACTTCATTCTCGCTTCATTTCTACAAACATAGTTTGCCTCGACTACAATCAAATTAAAGTACCAGTGGGCCAACATTTCCCTCCCTAAGTATGTAGAAATATTTAAGCTGTCAGTCACCTTTTATCATCTATTTCAGGAGCGATATTGTCTACTTCCTCTCTGATTGAAGCATTATCCAGTGACCGAGCAAGAAGCTTTTCTGTCAAATACATCTCAGCCATATCATTATCGTCATCCAGCAAATGTTCAAGCTCATCTCTCACCTATGTTTAAGAAAACATGCAAATATTATGTAACAATCAGGTAAAATCTGTCGTTAAAGAAAACACATCAATATGCTTACCAAAAATAAAACACTAGACAAATGAAATTTAACAAGCACAATTTTAAACATCAGATTAACGCAGCAGAGTGCTTCTTAAGGGTCTTCAAAATTTTGAAATGACAGATGCAAGTTGCATGTATAAAAACAGAATGTGAGGAGAAAGGGCAGACTCGATTAGTTATCTCCTAAATGGAAAAGATAAATGTTGGACATGAGAACAGCGGCGTTGGAGTTATCTGGATAAAAAATAGCATGATCAGTTCAAGAAGACTTGGAATCACGGAAAGGTGTTTAGTCTAGTACAGAGATTAAAATTTTCAGCCTCAATCTCTTTTACTGTCTTAAGGGTGAATAGCTTTGGCTAATGAGTTTGTGATTTTTTATGCTTGGATTGGTTGAACCCTGGGTGCAGTCCCTCTGCCTTCCACTCACGAAAAGAGCTGTAATATATTGTCAATTACCTTCTGTACTCGGCCAGAGATGGCCACTAGACGACTCTTTATTTGTCTAACACGGTCAAGGTTGAGTGTACTGATTTTGGAAGTTAGTTCATCCAAAGCTGGATATGCCTCTTCCTCCAGGGTCTTGGTCTGACAACGTCACAAAGGAGAACATTTCAGTTACAGTTCAACAGTAGTAAAAAATTTGAAGCTAAAAGTCAAATGGAATGAGGAGAAATTTCAGAGATGCAGTTTTTAATGATGGAACACAAAAAATCAACCTGCAATTTTAGTCTAATTGGAAAGGGCGAGAAATTCCGGTTCTATATGATAACCAACTGTGTTTAGATATAAAGTAGCCTGAGAAGGTATAACATCCTTAAGAACTGTTTCACTAGATTCGACGTACAAGTGTGTCACGTATACCTCTGATTCAAGGCACCGGCAAGCAGATTCAAGACAAGATTCCAGTGCTCTGAATTCGAATGGCAATGTCTTGTGATGCCCACCAGCAGGCGATGTCATGCCGTCAACTTCCTTTGAAAGCAAAAATGTAACTATGAATCATGACAGGCTGACCAAATGCCAGGACAACTTGCGCACTTTTCCATTTGCTAGAGCTACACCAATAAAATTCAATTACAACTACTACCCAAGGCCAAATGTGGAGTAAACCAGCAAATGACAGTTAGTAATTTCATAAACAAACTGCGCTTATCAAGCGATTCAATGAAGTCATGACAGACAAATCAAATGCCGGGACAACTTCTTTCAGCAGGCACTTTGACATTAGGTAGAAATACAATATAATTCATGTAACACTAGTAGCAGAGGTTATAAAGAGCAAACTGGCAAATAACAGTTAAACCATGATCGACTTTGCAAACAAACTGCTCTTAACACGATGACCGAGCGCAATACGATGAACCGCACAATACCGAACACACTTCGAAACCTCAAATGATAGCCGATCGATACTACTTGCAAATTTCAGCAAATATTTCTGACAACCTATGAAATGCCGTGCAGATTTCTTCTACGTCCTTCTATTTCGCCCCCTACCTTAAGGTTTCTACATAAGCCAGATCGTCTCGACTCGGCCTAAAACCTTACCTGTTGAGACGCGCAATTGGAGGTAGAAACCCGGTGCTGGAGGTCTTGGACGAACTGATAAACCAGAGGACTGTTGGTGTTGATCATCAGGACCTCCTTGGCGGTGATCACGGCCTTGATGTGCTCCAGGTTCACGACGATCGCCCGCTCCCGGCCGAGGATCGAGGACGGGTACGAGAGCACCGGATCGAGCACCCTGAGGTCGCGCGCGGGGAGGCCGGTCCGGCGCATGATGCAGTGCTTCTCGATCTCCTCGACGTGCGATTCCCCGGGCTCCGACAAGATCAGCCAGGCCCTGGTCCCGATCCCCTTCCGCCGCTGCGGCGGCAGCTGCTGCGCCTGGACCATCGCCGCCCGGCCGATCTCCTCCTCGCCCGGTCGCTCCAGCGGCGGAGGCGAGGACGCCATTGATGCTGAAGAAATCTGGAGAAAATAGGATGGATCTTTTCTGTGCAAATATGGTTAAAGGGGAGGCGAAACGTTCCCGCCGAAATCGGAAAGAGGGGATGACGTGGCTACCCCCGGCTTGGGGTTAATTAAAAAAAAAAAGCACAAATTTTAGCTCGAGAGACAATTCCGATTTGAATTTTTTTATCTTATAAAAAAGCATCAATTTTAGGTTGAGTGACAATTCTGATCCAAACTTTTTTTTGTCTCATAAAAAATCACCAACTTTCATCCTGATCCCAAATCTAGCCATCTGTTGACTTTCTATCTGAAGTCACATTTGTTTGAGAAAAAAAGGTTATGATGTCCATGGCGTCTGTTGATGGATGGTGATCTACAATTTCAGATTACGAAAAAACGATGAAGTCTGGCCAGAGAGATTCAATCTGGAGATATTTTTGAATTGCCGGTGAAGTGAAGGAAATGAATGGTTTCACTGTTATTTTTCAAGTTGTGGTTCAGAGAACAAGATAATGAATAGTGCTTTAAATCCAGTCAGCAAGCCACGTGGATTTTTTACTAAGGTGGAATAGTCAAGTTAGATAATCAATGGTTTTAAGTCAATGGGGGCCAGATTTGTTATTTAAGTGAAAGTTTGTGCTTTTTTACGAGATAAAAAAAAGTTTGGGCCAGAATTGTCACTCGACCTAAAGTTAGTGCTATTTTATGGGACAAAAAAAAATTCGTGCCAGAATTGTCCCTTGACATAAAGTTGGTGTCTTTTTTTGGAATTAGGTCCCCGGCTTGGGATTTGTTCGTGTTTTTCCTCCGAAGTGCCGTTGAAATGTCGAATATGCCCTTGGTTTCTCTCCATTTAATGGCATGAACTCTTTTTATCTTTTGTAATTTAAATAGAAGGGAATTAATCCAATTTGAGATCTCATGTCCAAATTTGTATTGATTTTTTTTTTCGCAATTAATCCGAATTGCTTCAATTTGATTTCACTCTCGTGTGCTAGTGTCGTCCCGAAAACGTACCCCTTTTTTTTTTCTAAGTATTACATGTATTTCACATGGTCAGCAATCAACAACAAGAGGCGGATACAAAAAAGTTTTATGGCGCTATGGGGTCAACTGTATCTATAATATTCCACCTAAGTGCATACCTTCGACATTTACCGTCCGATAGTGCTTTATTTTAAGTACCAACCATACTTTTAAAACATACAACTTACCTCGTGAGTTTTCCACTTTCATATATCAACTTGCATCCTTACAACCCCACTTATTTACCAAAATCGTCATTTTCCTTCCCAAACTGCCCTTTCAAAAAAATTCTCAAACCCTAACATATCCTTCACTTTGTTTCGTATATCAACTTGCATCCTTACATCCTGAGTATCTACTTTGTGTGCGTGACTGGGTGAGTAAGAGGGTGGAGGAAGAGAGAGGGAGAGGGGAAACAGATGGGCATAGGACTTGGGGATTATGGTTTTTTACAGTTAGGAGGAGATGTTACTTGAAGGTTTTTAGAAATTGATGATGGTTTTTGATATATAAACCTTTTGCAAATATCCTGTAATTTTTTTTCATCTTTTTATATTTGATTAAAGGGAAAAAGTCACAAAAAACTCTAACCTATGTCTTGCTATGGTACGTTTATCCTGAGCATATTTTGTGAAAAAAAAATTTAAAATTATGCCCACTATGACATATTTATCCTAAATTTTTTCAAATGACATAAAAAACCCCAAACGTGTATGTATGTGAACTGTTAGATGATTTTTCAATCAAAACAATGTCGTTTTTATTTGATTTAAACCACATGGGTGCCAGTCGACACTCTTTACTTTCTCACATCTATGTAAATAGATATTTAATGATTCTAATTGACAGAATTTTCACAGAATGTAAATGTGTCACACAAGTATAAATTTGGAATTTTTTATGTCATCGAAAAAATTCAGAGAAAATGTGCCATAATAGGCATAATTTAGGATTTTTAGTGGCTTTTGCCTTTAGAAAAAAAATATGTAAATCATTATTGCTCACTTAGGCTTGCAAGTTAGTTGATTCAAGTATTTTTCAAATTTGAGTTTGCCTCAATTAAGTACTTAAGCTACCTAAATTTGAAATGAATTAAGACAAGTTCGAGCAATTGGCCAGTCAAACTCAAGTAATTTATGGATAACTTGACTCACATTCATATGACAGACGATTCTAGGCACTAATTACTTTACTGTATATGTTTAGAATGTTTCGATAAAAAAAAAAGTGTATATGTGTAGAATGTTTCTCAGCAAAAAATAAAAAGTGAATAGCACGAAAAAAATATTGCCTGCTCTATGAATTATGTAGACCAAGTTTATCTTCACGACTGAGCATGTAAGGCCCGACATAAGACCCCAAGATTAAGATTAAGATTATATTATTTTATATGGCCATGCAATAAAGTGTCTTTGAAAAGTTAATGCCACGTATTGTGTCGCGACCTTTCTCGAGGTGAAACACCAATAGAAAAGCTAATGGATTACTAAGGTGAAACATGAAAGACTTGGTATGGACTCTCCCAAATCCATATCAATCACAATTTTCGGGTTTTAATTTATTCAATTTAAACATGCAATTCAATTTACTCAGGAATCGCCACTAATCTATTATGGGTCGATTGAAAACCCAAGTAAAGTGTGAGATTCATGAATACGGAGACTTGGTTACGCTAGATAAATCTAACGCCTTATCAATACATTTTCTCTTTATTTCGAAAATACTTTGCAAGCAGTCAAAGCCAATTTTAAGCCTAATCCACTAACATACAATGAATGATCATGCGAGTGCGCAATCAATAATGTAACACTCGATAAATCAAAGTAATAAATAAATTGCTAGAAATATGGATACCTCAATGCAAAGCAAAGCACAACCTTACTGTGATTAATTTCCCAATATCTGCAAGATGCTAATTAAAATGCATACATAGCCTAAACTTATTTTCTAAATGCAATGACATAATTTAATTTTTTTTGGGTTTTTATTGTTTATGAAAATTAGACTATATGCAATTTTGATATAAGTTGAACATGCTTGAATTATTAAACTAATGACATGTGACATAACCTAACATTAATGTCGGGCAAAAATTCTAAATTAATCTAGCATGACATGCAATCTAATTTATATGAGTCTGAACATGCAATCAATAAATGACATTGATATGATGACATGGAAATTATGACATGGCAATATGATGACGTGACAATGATGACATGGCAATGATATGACTAATTCTATATGAGATATGCATGAGATATTTTTGTGATTCTCTTTTAAAGATGAAATAGAAAAATACTTAAGTATGAGATTATTTAATTTAAATTAGGAAATAATTTAGATTAAATCCTATCTAAATTTGGAAATTTCCTAAATTACTACGTGGTCTCTCTATATATGTAATTATAAATTAAGAAAGTGATATGAATGCAATCTATCCTAAATGTAATGGAAATTTTTTGTATTTTCATATTTAGGAAAGTTTTTTGAAATAACCCATGCAAATATGTAAACCACACATAGACGTGTCAAACAGGTGGGTCGAATCGAAAATGGTTCAATCTAAATTGATCCATTTAACTCATTTTGACTCATTTCCATGCAATACAAATTTAGTAACCCCATACCTAACCCAAATCCGACCCATACCCAATCGATACCTGACTCAAGCTATATTGTTTAAACACTTCCATATTTAATCTAATGTAGGAAAATTCATACACAAACTGAGGTGAGAGAGCGCGAGATCAAGTGAGAGCAAGAGAAAATGAAGAGAGAGTCAAAGAGATGTGTTGGGTTTAAGTAAATTGTGAATCTATTTAATATCATATTATTTTGGGCATTACCACTGTAAACCCATTTATTGAATATAACTGACACATATAATAATTCAGCCCATTAAATATGGGTTGAAAATGGGTCTATGAACAGGTCTAACCACACATAATCAAATATTCAATAAATTCAAAATAGCAAACAATGATCATCGGGATCCGTTACTAAGAATGCAATTCAAAATGGGAAATTTCCTATATTGATTATGCCTGAACTCAAAATCCCATCATGTTAGAATTGATCGATTAACTAATCAAATATTTGAAATGAATAGACTTGGAGCAATTACCTAATTTATTAATCAATGAACTCCACCGAGGTCTCTTCTCGGCTACCGCCGGGCAAGGCAAAGACGGCAAGTAAACCTCACGACGGAGACTTGCAGGCTCGGAAAGGTTGGTTTAACACGTCGCGAAATACCGGACAGCAACTAGACCGAAGGAAATTCGCCAAGAAACCTGCACAGAGAGAACAAGGCTTGACAAAGAAAGCTGGTCTGCAGCAGAGAAGGACCACCAGGTGTACTAAGACGGCAGCGGAGCTGGCTTCAAGGATTGCTATGCAGGGCGACACCAAGGGTGAGCAGGACTTGGCGTCGGATCTAGAACTCGACTATTCGATGGGAGGTGCGATGAGTTGTGAGCTGTGGTGGCGCAGCGAGGCAGGAGGTGCGGAGCACACCGATTCGCAACCGCGAAGAGAGTCTCATTCCGTTTCTTTTATGTCACTGAATCGACCTTTTTGACTTAGTATTTTTTTCAGCGTGCAATCCAATGTGGACCACCTTTTCTTCTGTTGTTCTGTATTCTATAGTGCCCTCTGGTATTACAAAAGTAGAAGCATGAATGTCAGCAACGCATAACTTACTTCGTCTTTGCATCCTTGTGCCGTCCCCCTTGGTGGATTCTCTATTTATTACCGTTAGTGAGAAGGTAAGCTTTCAAGGGAAGGAATGGATTGGCTTCCCCTTTGTGAGTGGTGCGTGAATGGTGTGCAATGTGCATTACTTTTTGCTTGATTATTCTTTGGCCTTGATTATATATTGCTTAGCATGTTCCCCCCCTTCGTATGGCCGAAAATAATATAAGGCTTTATCTCTTCCAATTTTAATCAAGAATTATCTTTTCTAATTCGACACATCCACCTTGAGCAGTAGACATGTTAAACTTCGGCCATTTGGAGGGATTGAGGGCTTATTCG